TTCCACTCAGCCAGCCTTCCTGTGGTTCTGGATGATGTCCGTTCTGTCTTTTAGTTGTATTTTTGAAGTGGTTGTTCGAGGCAGCAAGCTCCAGCGTTAACCTATGCCGCCATCTTGGTTCTCTTGAGTAGGGTGATTTAAGCTATTACCCTCTGGTTGGGGAGGAGAAGTGTGAGCCATTTATGCCTCTCAGTTGTCCTTGGTTTAGGGAAGATAGGATTTACTAGATGGCGGCCAACTGCTTGGCATCTAGATTTTCTAGGTGACTGAAAACTGCTATTTAATTATTTGTCTCAGTTTTCCTATTCTGCTTGTCCTGGCTTGTTAGCCTGTCTCTATTTTGGTGATTATGCTATCAAATTAATATATGGTTAGGTTCCTTTGCTACATTCTACTTTTGATTTCTAGGGATTGTTCTTTTTTTAAAATTTAATTTTGTTTCATAATTATGTATGGTTTCAAACTCAAAGCTACAAAATGAAGGACACTTAGTGAATTCTAGCTTCTATCCCTGCCCCATCTACCCTTTTCCTCTGTTACCCTATAGGCAACTGTTGTCTTTAAAATAGAACTGCTTCCTTGCCCACTGGTCTTTATTCTCTTATTCTAATTTATTTTCCTTAAACTCTTACCACTTCTGACATGATCACCCTCTTTTACTACCAGAATAGAATCTTCCTTAGAGCAGGGACCTGAGATGTACCAAACAAATGCATTTCTCAGTTCCCCTTCAGGACGAGTCAAAGGGGTTTTTGTGACCCCTCCACCTTTTTGAGTACCAGTTAGCAGCAAAGTTTACTTTCTTAAAAATGTATATTATTTGGTCAACATTGATTTCACATGAATACATACTAATTACTAGAGGCCCGGTGCACTGGGGGGTGAAGAAGGGGGCCCCTCAGCCTGGCCTGCGCCCTCTCACAGTCCATGACCACTCGGACATCCTTCTCGCAGTCTGGGACCCCTCGCTCCTTACTGCCCGCCCGCTGACTCCTTAGCGCTCAGTTGCTGCACTCGCCAGTTGTGAGCCTGGCTTCTGGCTGAGCAGCGCTCCCACTGTGGGAGCACACTAACCACTAGGGGGCAGCTCCTACATTGAGCGTCTGCCCGCTGGTGGTCAGTGTGCATCATAGTGACCAGTTGTTCTGGTCTTTCCGCCGTAATGGTCACTTAGGCTTTTATTATATAGACTAGAGGCCCGTTGCACGAAGATTCGTGCAATAGGCCTTCCTTCCCCTGGCTGCCGGCCCTGGTTTTCCTCTGGCACCTGGGACCCAGGCCTTTGGTCCGGCCACAGTGGAGAAGCCAAGCCTCGAGGCTAGGCTTCTGACTCTGAGAGGCCCCAGTTTCCATGACAGCTTGTTCAGCAACCCATGCAAGACCCAAGAGAGTATTTATTATGCAGGAGGACGGAGGTGCTCCAGTGTTAGAGTGAACTAGACTTTGTTTACCATCAGTTGTGCTAGAATGTGATGTATGTTCCTAAAAAGCACCATAACCTGCAGAGTTCAGTAAAAACAGCAGAGTTTATGGGCAAATTGAGATTAGGGGATACAATACTCAAAACGTTTGTCAGTGACATAAAAAGCACAATAAAACAGCACAGTTTAAAAAAAAAAAGCACAGTTTTTTCACATGTTAAATGGTGAAGAAATACATAAATACTGCAATAAATGTGACACTTTACCTTGATAAGACCTGATATTTGCTTATAGAAGTGGGAATTGAAAGGCTTGCAACCTGTGAATTCAGCTGCGTACAGTGTTCTGTGTTCACCTGTTGTTACTCATGGACGAAATTGCATGTAGGCAAATGATTGTGCTCAAATTGTTTCCTAATGTCAACATAAGAAACATCCAAACCTGTAGAGAATTTTTATGAGTTTATTTGAGCCAAACTGTTGTCAAATCCACCGAGGAAGCAAAACCTCAGTGGATTGAGAAAATGCTCCAGAGAACGGCAGCTTGCTCCTTATTTTACACATTAGAACCAAATAGAAGGTGTCAGGGAATTATATGAGATCCACTGGGGATGGGTTAGGGAGGTGGGAGAAAGCAAAATGGGGAAATCTCTGGGATTGGATAAAAAGGACTAGTAAGCCCTAGAGACACATGCTTCCTTCCATTGGTGGGCATAGGAAAGTAACATTTACACACATGGAGATGGTGTGTGGGGAGCAGGGTAACAATGAGGGCTCGGTGGGCTCCTGCTCCGGTGGGAGGTTGTGCCCTGGAGGGTCTGGAAAAAGGGGTTACCCTGACATTCCAAAGGTATGTTATCCTGGATGCAAAAAGGCAGTAGACAGGCTCAGGTAACTCCCTCCAGGAGTTTTGATTCCTTGTTCGTTTATTTAAAAAAAAATCACCCTACTCAGGGAGAGAGCTTTGATAAAGCTTGACCTTTGTCAGGGAAGATGCCGGCCGACTACAGGGCTACCGGCCATGACTCACTTGTAGTCAGGAAGTTTTGATTTCAGACCATTCTGTGTGGTTCCTTTAGATCTGAGTTTGCAAGGCCTGCCATGCAGGCCTCCCCTGAGCTTGTCAGGTTTAGTATGTGGCCCCTTTTCGTCCATGCTAATAATCATGTAGAACAGTTTACGTTTAAGTAGCCAGTACAGCAGAACTGACTACATTTTTCTTCTCTTTCTCCTTTAGACGATATGCCCGTGGGAACTGCCGGCAGACGAGCTTCAAATGAGTTCTTGGTGTTTGGAGGGTATGCTTACACATAAGTAATTAAAATATTTTTTATATTTTGGTTTTCTTATAAGTACAGTTATAGAACTTTGTGTGTTCTTGAGTCTAAAATTTATTTTGTTTTTCAATTTATCATTTTAAAAATATGTATAATTGTGGAATAAAACACACAAAATCTGCCATCTTAACCATTTTAAAGTTTACAGTTCAGTAAAGAATATTTAGTGTTGTGCAGAACTCTTTCATCCTGCAGAACTAAAACCCAGAACTCAGTGTGTAGCAACACTCCCCATCCCCCCTATCCTGCACTGGTAACGACCATTCGATGTCTGTTTCTATTAATCTGACTACTTTCTATAACCTTATAAGTAGAATATTACAATATGTCTTTATGTGACTGGTTTAGTTCAGTCAGTACAGTGTCCTCAAGGTCATCCATGTTGTAGCATGTCTCAGAATTCCTTTTTTAATGCTGAGTAATATTCCATTGTGGGTCTGTAGCACATTTGCTTATCTGTTCATCTGTCTGTGGACACTTGGAGTGCTTCTGCCTCTTGGCTCTTGTGAATAATGCTGTTATGAATGTGAATATGCAAATATCTGTTAATTAAAAGACCTTGCATTTTAAAAAATACGTTTTTATTGATTTTAGAGATGAAGGGGGAGAGAGAGAGAGAGAGAGAGAGAGAGAGAGAGAGAGAAAGAGAAACAGAAACCTCAGTGATGAGAGAGAATCACTGATCATCTGCCTCCTGCATGCCCCCACTAGGGATCAAGCCCACAACCCAGACATGTGCCCTGACAGGGAATCATACCATGATCTCCTGGTACATAAGTTAGCATTCAACCACTGAGCCATGCCGGCCGGGCAAAAGACCCTGCTTTAATTCTTTTGGATATATACTGAAAAGTGGGGTTGTTGGATCATATGATAATTCTATTTTTAATTTTTTAGGATACGCCATACAGTTTTCTATAATGGATGCACCATTTTACATTCCTACAACAGTGTACAAGGGTTCTGATTTCTTTATATCCTTGCAAACATTTGTTGTTTTTTCCCCTTGATAATAGCCACCTTTTTTTTTCCTAGTCATCTCCTTAATAGGTGTGCACTGATATCTCACTGTGGCTGTGATTTGCATTTCTTTAATGGTCAGTGCTTTTGAGCATCTTTTCATTGTTTGCCATTTGTAAATCATCTTGGGTGAAATTGTCTATTCACGTCCTTTGCCCATTTTGTAACTAGGTTGTTTTTTGTTGTCAGGTTGTAGGAATTCTTTATATATTTTAGATATTAACTCTTTATCAGATATGCAATGTACAAATATTTTATCCCATTCCATAGGTTGACTTTTCACTCCATTGATGTGTCCTTTGAGCACAGAAGTTTTAAAATTTGATGTAGTCCCATTCGTTTATTTTTTGTTATCCATATCCAAGAATCATTGCCTGATACAATGATTAGGCTTGAAAATTTTTCCCTATGTTTTCTTCTAGGTATTAATACTTTTGGATCTTATGTTTTGATTTTTAATCCATTTTGAGTTAATGTTTTTTAAATTTATTTTAAGTCTTTTTTATTGAGAGTATTACAGATGTCCTTCTTTTCCCCCCTCCACATGGTTCCCACCCTACTCTCTGTGTCAATTGGTAATGCATATCTATTCTATAAATAATTAATTAATTAATTAATTAATTAATTAATTAATTTGCAAATTAGGCCAGGATGCCGGGTCAGGACCAGGCAGGAGGAGGTTGCGCGCACAGGTGAGGCCTGGAGCGGAGACCGGAACAGAGATGGGGCCAGCGAGCCACCTTGCCCTGGCTTGGGCTGGCCCCCTGGAGCCGGAGCAGACAGGGGCAGGGACAGG